GATGACCCACAGAGGTCCCTTCCAACCCCTAACATTCTGTGATTCTGTGACTGGGCTGAGTGCTCCAGCTGCTGGGATACTGGAGTGCATGATCTGCTGGTGCTTTATGAGAAATTTCACTCTGGATCCAAGAAATGTTCGGTCAGGGTTTAGGCAGACAGATGCTTTCTTTGTGAAAGGTCTGTTTTACTGAATTTATTTACTCTTTTAAGTTCCATCTACCCAGAAAAAAGTGTCACTGGTGTTCAGCCAGCTCATCAACAGGAAGTACGGCCAAGGAACTGTTTTTGTTTATTTTCGTGTTACACTACAGGAAATGAGTGTGTCATTATTTGCACCTTTCTGGGAGGTGATGTCATGACCACTTTCACTGCTGTGGTGTTTATTTTTTTTATTTGCAGAATTTAAATGTGAAATTCTTATTAATCTTTAATCAGGCTCATGTTGATCACAAGCCAAAGTTTGCTGAGTGATCTTTTTAAGACATGCAAGTTGTACAATGTAGTGGCACATAGGGAAACCCCCCTAAATTCCATTATTGACCAGAATTTGGGAACTAGGAATGGAGGGCCCCAAGAACACAAGTCCTGGCTGCGGAGTACAGAGGTTTTACAGTTGGATACGTTTAACCATGCTCTTCAGTTTTCTAATCAGCCCCTCTATGTTAAAATTGTCCCTACAATAGAAACAACAGTCCCCTGAGTGCATCCTGCACTCAGAGAGAGAGGTTCCTTGGGGATGGGAGAAGGGCTTCGGTCGCTGGCAATGAGGGGCAAACCATCCTGGCACTGTACTGCCTCAGTCCCAGGGGTGCGCGTCTTTTCAACAAGATGAGCTCTGACAGAGGGATACAAAAGCCTCACGTTTAGTGCCCATCTGCACAGCCACACACACAGCTAAAATAAACTCTGCTCTCATCAACAAGTGTAATTTATTATTTTGGCCCAGACAGCGAGGAAAGTGCCTTCTGCTTTTTTTGGGATTTATGTCCTGCCATGCAATGCTGATGACTATGCCAGAAATGCTGCTTTTGTTGGATTGGCTTTCCCTAGAGTTTTTTTGAGGTATTTGTCAGCCCCTCCCCCCCCCCAAAAAAAAAACAAACCAAAACCCCACAACTTTATGTTTCACAAGTGAAGCAGTGGTCTGTGTCCACTGGAGCTACTTACAGCTGCCATCAGTCATCCAGTTTGAAGAATCAATAGCCTTTGGTAGACACTCATGAGCCACAGGGGACGCAGGTGGTAGCAGTTGGATGGATGAACTGTAACCACTTGGGTTTGTCCTTGGAGGAAGCAAGTACATATAAATACCTAAGAGGTACTCGGGGACACGCTTTATCCAGTTCCTAAGGCTTCTTTTAGTTTCTCACCTACAGCAAGACAATGTATCTTCCTGGCATTCTGCAGGGAAGTGAATGCCAGGTAGTAACTGTACTCTCATTAGACAAAGAACTTTGGGGTGACTTTGTGCAATACATGTGCTAACATCAACTTAATCACAAAACAGACTACCTTTTCTCCATTTGCTCTACAAGAAGCCTGCTGTGTCTCTTCTACTACGTAGTCCTAGTTGTCAATCAGTACCCACCTCAAGCTTTCTTCAAAACCAAAGCTCGATGCAGAATGCCATGCCCAGGTTGTCATCAATGTGAGAAACTGCACTGTTTATTTTAGCGTTGTGCAGTTTGAAAATTGTTGCAGACTTCACTTTCCAGAACTATCAGCTGAACCATTGACAACTAGGATTAAACAGCTCAGGAGCTGCATATAAAACAAACAGAGGGCTGTGTGTTAAACGGCTCAAGAGCTGCCATATGCAGTAGCTAGAGATAAATGTCCTCTTCAGGCAGGAAAGCTGACAGGAGGTTAGGCTGCTAACACCGCAGCATGGCTCTTCATACCTGATGTACAAGGAGTAAGACAACTAACAGAAATTCTTCTGTTTGGAAAGCTGCCTGTCCACACTCATTCCTTGTTCCACCCTCAGAAATGCAAGGAAAAGGTATCTTCCTTATGTTCTACAGGTATTGTAAAAGGAAAAAAGTTGAATATAAGAACTTCACGCCTCAATGGGATTTAACATTAAAAAAATGTATGGAACACTAGCAGAAGAAAAAAATGCTGCCCTCTTCAGTTCCATCCCTGCTCTGCAAGTATGTAGTATGCCATGTTGTGATGAATTCTATGAGACTAAAACAATAGCAGGACCACAACTGCAATAAACTTTTATTCTATTTATTATAAATAAAAACTAGTAAATATTTATTACAGCTTTCTAAAAATATACATCTATTTTAATATTCTCAAAAGTTAGTTCTGAGTTTTACAATTATAGACAAAATATAAAAAAAATTTTTGATAACTGAAACTTTACCCTTTACAGTCTACATTACTAGAGAGATTAATTAATGCCCAATTAACAATACCTTGCTGGGGAGACTTTAGCAGTGTCTAAACATAAATAAACTGAAAATCAAATAAATAATTTACTACTGTTAACAAATGGCAGTTCTCCACAGAACTAGCTCCATCCCCATTTAACAGCTAAATTTTGGCTACTATTATGAATAGTCATGCGAGATCTGAAGGGCCTCTGCAAAGGTTTCCTCAAGATCATCAAGTTCCCTGTTGGCTTCCAAATCACTGTCACAAGCAATCAAGTTCAAAGTTGCCTCATGTGAGGGTGAAGTGTCTGGGTCTTCTTCAGATATCACACAAGAGCGAGACTCTGTACCAGCATCCCTCATTTTAGTGACATCTTCTGAAAAGTCGTCCTTGCTCTGTCTCTCCTTTGAACTTTCCCTGCATACTGGCGATTCACATTTGTTTGGTTCCTTTAACCACAGTTCCATGGTCCCAAAGAATTCTTCACTTTTTGCAACTTTTCTTTGCCTCTGACTTCTACTGGTAAACTCGAGTTCTTCCATCGTACCGAACTCTTGCGGATCCAGCGGGTCAAGGGCTTCGCAGCCTGCGTGGCTCTGCTGCACGCCGCTGCCTGGGCTGCAGCCGAGGTCTGCTCTCAGTACGTCCAACAAGCAGCGCATTTTGCTCTAGGGGGTGAAGGAAGAAAGCGGTGACTCTTCTCCAGCCCCACAACCCCCACCTCCCCAGAACGCGGGGCTTAATTTGGGCACAGGGCAAGGGAAGCCACTTGCAATCGAGTGACTAAATGATGCCGAACGTGTCACCAGACTGAGGTGACTCCTGTCCCTTTTTTGTGCCTGTGCTGTGACCGGTGGATCGTGGTAGACCACGACTCTGCAGATCTCATTTACAGAGCTTTCCCCACTGAGCAGTCTGGTTCCTTCTCACAGGAAATACACCAGTGCATTTCCACTGTACTTCGGAAACACTGCTGAGGTCACACGCAGAGAGGGAGACCGTTACAGGGGCAGCACCTACCTCATCCAAACGGTTCTTATTTTCTTCTATATGACACTCGAACAGTTGTTCCAGAACTCTACAAATGAACAATTAAAAGATTTAACAGGAAGAAAACCATCTTTTAACAGATCTACATCAATTAATAACCTTAGTTTTTTATTTTCATTCCTTAGCTGAATGGGACCACTAAGATTGTTTCAGTTATGCTGTCACAAAGTGGGCTACCCCGAGTCGGTATCCTACCGGACACATGCTCAGCAGGCAGCCCCAGCTTTGGGCAGCTGAGGTAACCATGGGGTGATGTGTAGCATATCTCTGGTTGTGTTTGGGAGCAACAAACAATCCAGTGGTGGTTCTACTGGCATGCTGAAATATCCAAAATCTCTCAGGTGCACCACAGTGGCTGACATACACAAGTCTAAATAAAGGGAAGGAACAAAATGCAGCTTCAGAAAAAAAAAAAATCCAGAGAAAAACCCTCAGTCTTGAGAGCTCTCTTCCACTGCTCAAGTAGGGTGAGAAAAAATGTCAGCAGAGAGGAAGTTTTATGCGAGAACTAAGGTACACAGTCACTGGACCAGACTTCCAGAAGGTCAAGTGAATTTAATCTAGTTTATAGTTTACATGAAAAAATATTAAAAAAAAAAAAAAAAATAGTGCAAGAAGGGTTTTAAGGGAAGACAGCATTACTGTAAAAAAGAACCAGAGGGAGATTGCTCTTGAAATCTGTCAAAGATTAATTTTTGGCTTTAGTGCATTTAACATTCTCATTGATAGCCTTGACATGAAAAAAAAAAAGTGCACAGTACAGAACAACAGCTGGTAACACTGTCAACACAGAGGAAGATCAAAATATTACACTGGAATTAGACTGCCTTGAAAATGGACTTACAAAAATGGGTTAAAATTCTGTATCAGAAATACTGCAGGGTGGTTTGTTTTTTTTTGCTATAAATTGAGAGTTCTTTACAAGAAAGAACTGGTACAGAAAAGAATTTGGGAGTACTACTGAAATACACAAACTGTATCATAAATTACTGTTTAATTATTGAAATAAAATCTGATTTAGCAACTGGTGAACCTGTAGCTGAAACGGTATATAGTCCTGACAACCCATGTTGAAGTCTGAATTGATACTGGAACAGGAGCAAGGACTGAAGGGAGATCGAGGATCTGTCCTGTGAAAGATTAGTAACTTGGTTTATTTAGCAAAGCAGATGTTGCAGAGTAAAATGATTTCTTCTTAGCATTACTCGACCTAGGGTTCCAGGCCAGTTTCCAACAGAGGCTTTATCTCATGGTGCACAGCAGCAGGTTGAAGGAGATGACCCATAGGTCTTTCCTAGTTCCCCTTTCTTACATAAAGCAAAAAAGGAAACAAAACAAAAGCAAGGGGTAACTGTGTACTTACATATTTTTAAATGCAAAGAAATTATTACTAAACACTACTTCCCTTTCTTACGGAGTCCATGTGTTTCTGACGCAGCATTACAAATTTGAAAACAAACATAACCTACCTGTTAGAAAATAGCCCAAGGCTAAGAATATCATTTGTTACATCTTCAATGAAAGCTAAATATAAAAGCTCTTCTTCTCTGCTGGGAGAACAGAAAAGCCAATGTAAAATGTTTTGAAACAGACACACATATTACACAATGCAGTAGGTCCAATTACCTTTATGGGAAACGCCATTAAGAAGCTCATATAGTTCTTGGCACCAGCTGCTATTTTTCAAAAAGGTAATTCTATCAGGACAAACTAAGCCTTTCATTCAATTCAAATAACAACAGAAAACCCTGTGTAAAACATCAGACTGTCAGAAAGGTCGCTGTGGTGCTTCGTGTTCATGCTAACTTTCTGTTGTGGTATAAACTAGCACAGAGATCCTGAGTGAGGAAATCGGCAAATCTTGGACAGCGTTCAGAACCTGCTTTGCACTCAAGAAGAAAGGGGTGCTGACTGGGAAGAAAGTGTCAAATTGCAGTCTGATGCTCTGAAAACAGGCTTCCAAAGGAGCTTCCAGAGAATCTGACTGCAGCTGGAAAGTGCTGGTCCTCAATGGAAGCTCAGAAAAATGTAAGTGCTTGTTTGACAGCCTCCATTCCTTTCAAACAGCAACTCCTTGACATACAAACTCCTTGATAGTGTGAGATGTCACTTTCACCTCTTTGATCAAACTTCTATTTTAATACCTCTTAAAGCCTTGTTGATGCCAATTGCTCTAAATGGGATACTCACCCAAAATTTTTGAGTTCTGTTTGGAAAACAAGAAAGAAAACCTCAAAAGAAAAGAAAAGATTTCTGTGCTGTTTCTCTTTCACAGCATCTTTCTAATTATCCCACTGTATCCAATCCAGATCTATCAAGTCATCCTCCAGTCTATAAACAGAAAATAAAAATGGGAAACATCTTGCATGACTTTCATTATCTAAAATTTGTCATCCAGCCTGAAGATTGTAATTTTGGTTCCCTCTATAGTCAAGAAAGATACGTGTAGCTGATCTTTGATACCTATATTACATCCTTAAAGTTAGGCAAGAACAAGCCCGTCCCAAAGCACAAAGAATTAAATGACTTTTCGAAGGTCACACAATAAAGCACTGGCAGTGTTTATGAATGTAACTCAAACCTCTTCCAATTTTTATCAAATTTAGAGAAGAAACGTGGTAAGAATGCTCTTCAACTTGGTATTTTATCTTGCCAATGTTTGCTTCAGAGATTACAGACCAAGAAAGAACTGGAAACATTTAAACTATAGCCACTGGAGAAGAAAATACTATCTTTCTTCCAAAATTATAATGAATTTTCTTCATTTTTAGTTCACATGGAAATTTTCAAGTATTATATACCAATTCATAGTGATGTCAATTCCACTGTAAATTGTGAACAACAGTTTATTCTGAGTCCTCCTTTACTGTCCCAAGTTCATCAGTTTTGAGGAAGTTTCTAGTTTGTTGTTGCAAGCTAGCAGAAAAATGGTTTAAGCATACTTACTCAGCCTTGATAGTCCTCCTTGCTGAAGGATGCTGAGAATACAACGGTGTCTCTCTAAACAGAAATTCAGAAGGTAAGAAAGAGAGCAACATTCTGAAAACCCTTTATACTACCTCGCATCTTGCTTTCTTCTGGAACCATGCTGTGCTATTATCCCACTTCCTCTTGGAAAAAGCCCCACCAGAACACCCTCAAACCCTGCACCAGTCGCAAAATCCACTGCTTACATGGAGACCTGAAAGACTATGTAAGGTTCAAGAGTACTGTAACACCTCACTAGATGCAGTGCTCTGATACCTCAAAAGACCTCTACTATCCGTAATAATGCTTTTTTTACTCAGAGTACAATTTTTTCCTGTGGTAAAAATGCTTTGTATGAAAAGGCCAGAGAGTAAATGAGCCAGTCATGTACGATACTTAGGTCAGCAATGGGGAGAATCGGCTGGGAGCCCCAGGTTCTGGCCTGATTTCCAACACTGCTCTTGTACTGTAGGAAATATTCTAAATCTCAGTGTTATATTTTCAGAAAAAGATGTGGGAAAGACCTCTGGTCTGCAATTCTTGCAGATCATAGATTCAAACAGATGGATGTCTGGAGACCCTTCTTCCTGAAAGGAAATACCAACTGGAATACCAATGCAGTATTTAGTTGTAGTATTGTATAAGAAATATATAGCTCAGTTTTATACATCCGAGCATACATCTAACAGCTGCATTAACGTGTCATTGCTCTCACTCTTGACAAAAATACTCAGCTAGTTCAGAGCTCTCTTTCTTAATTGGCTTCCCAGTGGAACTTTATCATAGGAAAATAATGAATTTTGAAGTTTGGAAAGGCCATTGATCTAAAAAACCCAACCAAACGGAAGTCTTGTGAGCAGAGACTTATAAAGAGAAACGGTAGTGAAGGCTTATGGCCTAAGAAGCAGCTGTACAGAAAGCAAGAAGGAATGCTTCAGATATTCCTTCCAGCCATAAATCAGGCACCTTAGGAAGGAGTATGGAAAAGCAACTATTCCTCTCTCAGGATCATCCACAGAGTATCTTCTGTCTTCAGCCTACAACACAGAGATAAAATCTTTATTACCAGTGCAAATACATAGCAAATTTTACCATTAATATGAACCTAATAACTATCTGTGATTAAGCAGCCCTACAAATTTTCTGTCTTTTCTGAGCAGCTTTGGGTAAACTAAGACACATGGCAACAAAGGGTCATCAGCTTTGACATCCAAAATTTTAGCCAGGGGCAACAGGCGATGTGGAACATTTTTCCCCTAAGAAGTATGTCAAAGATGAATTCTCTGAAAGCCAGAGGGGACCGATGTCACCAACAGCAATAAAATTTGGTATGCAAAGCCAGGAACCAGCACCTGAAATCACATCTCTTGAGCTGCTTGCACAGAACTGATGGAAGGTAAAGCTGCTGACTACCTGCATTTTAAATGACAATACCCCGAAAGGACCACCGTAAAGCTACAAGACTTACTGTTGTCACTTTTACAACAGGCAAAGAAAAAGTCAGATATGACAGTTTTGAAATGAAATCAGAAGTTCTTCATGGAACTGGAGCGAAGCCTTCCGAATAATCATTTAACCTTTTCTTAATGAGATCAGCTGCAGATCAATTCAGGCGATCTCTCTTCTAGATTCAGTAAATCTATAAATACATTATTTCTCTTTCGCCCCTCTCCTCCAATGTATTCATAAAAGCATAATTATTTGCCTTATTAAGGTAGAGACATGAAGAGTCTGACCCTGCAGCCTTTATTAAGGAAGAAAGTCCAGAGTTATTTAAGTACTTCTCTTATGGCTGACCGGGCTGTTTGTCTGAGGACTTGTCTGTATAGTGGCTAGAAGATAAAGCACGAAGTACGAACCTAACTTCTGATCAGACTCTTCCATGCAAGTATTAGTACAAATTAAAACAAAGTAACTTCAGATCTGAAGTCTAAAGAAATATTTCAGGTCTTCTGCCTGCTTCCCTCTGCCTCTCAAAGATGCTGGTATTCCATTTCATCTTTAAAATTTAATAATTTTAAACTACCACACGCTAAGGCAATTTCTGAAAGACCAAATGACTGAAAAACTAAGTTCAACTGTCACAAACACAGCAATTCAAATCAAAATGATGGATGCAAACATTTCTGTGACTATGACGACAAAAAAAGCTAGGAGCTGGTAGAATTTGAAGTGGTGTGATTTTTCATTAAAGCATTCCAGATACATTCAGCAAGACAGCAAGCAAACCGTATCAAGGAAAATTTCACCACTCACTGGTCTGGGGGCTTCCTCAGAGGAGGGGGCTCCTTGGTTCCAATCCTTCTGTTGAGGGCTTTTTGGAATATGTTATCCAATGTAAAAATGAAGAAAAAAAAATCCTTGAAAAGCAGGATTTATTTTTCTTCTGCTGAAAAATAATGTACCAATTATCTATGTCCTTAACAGATATTTAAGTGACACTGCACTTGCAGAAGATGTTGAAAACATTTTTTTTTTTAATTTTGTCATATCATAAGGTCTCTTCACATGCCCCAATATTTTTTCTTACTGTTTCCCCTTGTTCTTCTGTAACTTTCTCTCCTCTGAAGAACTAATTAATCTCGTGAAAATAAAGAAAATGAAACTTTAATCAGTTGTACACTGCTGTGGCAGAGATGAAGCATATACTCCAAAATGATGGTGAAGGGTGTGGTAAGAGTATCCAGATGATTGACAGATGATGACTGTATTACCTTCAGTGTGGTCTTCTGCTGTTCAGTCATAACTTTTCTCTCAGAAGCTTTGTTTGCAGGTGGAAAGCTACAAAATTTAGAGATGTATTAGATTTCCAAGAAGGCTACTTTCAAAATACGCAGGATGAGAATACCACTGTCACTGTGGAAATTTCCCATCAGTCTGAACTAAACCATCTCAGTTTAGAAAATTTCTTCCAGACTTCCATTCACATAATAAAACTAAGTTATAGTTCATTTTGAAGGATGACAACAGTCATACATAGATGATCCAAATCCATTATTTGACTGCATATTTACAGGGCATAGTTAAATTATCCAAAATAATTCAGAAATGAGAATGGAGATATCCTGTACATTAAAACCGCACCAGGAAAACATGTGACCCACAGCTAGAAAATCAATAGCTGCAATATGGAACCAAAGATATTGTAATTCCAGTCTTATGAAATTCCTACTTCATTCTAGGACAAAAATAGAGTTAGACACGCAGGCATTGAGGACACAAAAGAGAAAATATTTCTCTTTATGAGGTAGTATCAGTGAAAATAAAACTAAATCAAAACTTTTAATTTGTTAAGAAGAAGTTCAATGCAAGAGAAAGACGTTAATTTTGTATACAATATTTCATATAGGATACATCTGAAGGCATTTCAATGAAAACGATAAAAAGACAATGAAGAGCTGCATTCAAGAGTTAAAAAAAAAAAAGGATCTCTGCATCCTGTATTAATTAACGAACTGGAAGGTATGAGACTACAGCGGCAACAGTGGGGAACTACTGGCATGCTTATAGTGGTTAATTCTTTAGAAGACAGAAAGCACAACTACACACCAGAGAGAGTAAACAAAAGACAGAGGGAACAACTGCCCCCAACAGATATGAGATCCCACGTTTGGATTTAGTGGTACTTTGTATCCAATTTGTATAGATGAAAGAAGTTGCTCCAGAGAGGAGACAACAAAACATGACAGGGAAAAAAGGAAAATCACATTCTGTTCTAGCTTTTGCTAAGGCATCTCTAGAATAATTTTAGAATAATTATTCCAGTTTAACAGAAATGTAAATGAGAGAAAAACATGCTGTTTTTATGAAGATATTGTTATCACGCCATCTAAATTCCACAGTTTCAAAATAAAGTTTTAGTCTCTGTACCTGATTGCATCAGTCTGCGTCTGAGCTTCCACATGCTGCTTGCAGTGATTTTTCCTTTTCCTTCGAGCAGGAGTATAATACCTGTACTCTGACAGGAAAGATTTAGCATCTGATATTAAGGTGCGTGGAGTAAAAGGTTTTTGCCTATCAGTAAAGAATTCAGAATGCCTGTCTAGAAGATCCCCACTGCCTACTTTGGAGTTGCTTCCTTGATGCCTCTGGGAGTGACTAATGCTCACATAGCTATCAGTGGAGCAACTGCATGAAAGTCCAGAGCGTTTTCTTGGTGTACTTGATGTACTGACACTTGAGTTAGACGAGTTAGATGTATTCCGACAATCTTTTCTGGCACATCGTAGTGGTCTGGAGCGAACCAAGCCATGCTCGCCGTAAGGAGACAGCGCTCTCGAGAGGTACTGGGCCTGCCGAGCACAGGGGAAGAGACCATCTTTGTCTTCTGCTTCCAAGAAATTCTAGAAAAAATTAAAACAAGATTTGATTGTTTTGCAAGTTACCAGCTTTGCTCAAGTTGGTACTGCCAGCTATTATTGTTACCAACTTGGAGGTATTATCTATGTAAAAACTTTCCATTTTTGTAAAATCAAATTGATTTCAGAGCACCCCAGTTAATAGATTTTAAAACACAGTCATTGGAAACGAGACAGTAATAAGAAAATGGTTTGCTTCAGTAGAAAAACATGGGTACTTTGTTACAGACTACTGCTGGCTACATCAAAACAAGAGTTTTCATCATTTTACTCCAAAGGCTCAATACAGTTCTAAAAGTCAAGGAATCACTGCATTGAGGCAAACTATTTTATCTGAGTATGCTCTGTTCATACCACCTGGGCAAGGTAAGGTAGACATTATCCATAATTACCCTATAGACTAGTTCATAGTATGTAGTCTCTTAAGTGTGGAGCTGTTGCTTCTCTCCAAATTCTGTTAGCTTCAAAGCATACCACAGACTGGCTAACATTTTGTAAGATGCATATTCTGTAAGAGGCATGCTAACTGATTCATCTTCGATCAACGGGGAAAATACTGGAATGTGGTTCAAGACACAGAATAAGAAAACCATAACTAACTGTTTATTCCCTGTGTGACCCCTTTCTTCCCGTAGGTGGGAGATGCCCAACTGTGGTAGAGCAGTACGAACACGGGCTGTTCCCTTGTGTAATGGCATCCTGCTCCATGAGAAAAGTCCTAATTGCTATGATAATACAAACAATCATAACGTTCTCCAGCAGACATGGTCAACTTTCTATCCTGTTCTCTGGGTTTCTCAACCCGGCAGGCACATAGGCAGCTGTGAAACTTTCCCCTCTAACACTACAGAAAGCCAACAGCGCAAGTAGTTAGCTTACTACAGTTAAACAGGACAGATAACAATGCGCTGAGTTTATGAATAGATAAACTCCATTTCAGGTGATAGTAGAGAAATGGTATTACTGCTCCTGCTTCTTAACTGTTCAACCCACTAAGAGTTTAAACATGTATTTCAATTCTCAGAAGCAAACTCATATTAATGTTACTTTAAAAGGATACAGTTAAAAAGTCTTGAGTAAGTTGAAAAGTTAGTGAAGCACTGCAACAAACGTTAAGAGTAGTTAATAAAAAGGAAGCCAAGTACACCAGAGACTCACAATGACCATGAACATATATCTGTCCTATGGAAAGCGACAGGGAATTTTCCAACACATGCAATTCTAGAAGGGCTGACTCAGAAATACCATGTTAATGCCAGGGATAAGAAAACAGCTGATAACCCAAAAATTTAAATATGAAAACTAAGTCTATCATCAATAAATTTTAAAGAATTATTTTGAAAGACCATGCCAATTTTTCTGCTTTTTGAAAAAAAAATAAAAAATCTTAATCATAGCATGGTTTGGGTTGGAAGGAACTTTAAAGATCATCTAGTTCCATCCCCCTGCCATGAGCAGGGACACCTTCCACTAGACCAGGTTGCTCAGAGCTCCATCCAGCCTGGCCTTGAACACTGCCAGGGAGGGGCATCCACAGCTTCTCTGAGCAACCTGTGCCAGTGCCTCATCACCCTCATTGTAAAGAATTTCTTTCTTATATCTAGCCTAAATCTACCCTCTTTCAGCTTCAAGCCATTACCCCTTCTCCTATCACTACATGCCCTTGTAAAAAGTCTCTCTCCAATGTGCTTACAAGTTTTTAATTATTTTAAAGCTCAGAAGTTCAACATTATTCCTGAATTGTATTACACACTGTGGCAAAGAAAAGTAAGACAGAAACACAACTAAATCTCAGTGACATTTTAAGCTTTTTTTTTTTTCCTTTGTCAAATGAGAAAGAACAATTCAATAGAAAGAAATTTTATTTCTGTCCTAGAGAGAATTTTGAAAATTTTGCAAGTTTAAAGCATAAATGCCTGGTCAGGGTATGTGCACTGGTAAACGTGCTTTACAGTGTGTCCGAAAAGTTAGGTAGCATCTAAGCAAGACAGCTGCTGTATATTCTTTTCCTATCTAGGATACAGCGACCCACTGAAGATTCTGTCAGTCAGTGAAAGGTATGTATGACATTTTACGATCTCCAAGGACAGCCATATTGCAGAGTTAGTAGATTAAACCAGAAGCCTAACGTAACCAAAATTTTGTATAATTTAATTTATTTCATCCACATGTATAACTATTTATGCAATTCAGGTTCTGTTACACACAACTGTATGATGGAGAAGAGGTGAGCGATATGGCGTGTACTCAAACTACCGAGCAATACAGTTCTGAGACAGTGCTTGCACTTAGGTCCTGCAACAGTGAGGGAGACAAGCTGTGAGGGTATTCTGGAAAATGTCATTGCCATGCCATGTATAGTACAATGCAAGCCAGTATAATACAATGCAAAATAACACCTAAAATAAAATGGTATCTGACAAAACCCAATTAAAAATCAACAGCTAATAAACCCAAATCAATTCAGTTCATTTTTAACTAACTAGTCAGGCTCTTTAAAGTAATGATTTTACTGTTTCTTACACTTGGGCAGCTGACACAGCGAAGATGTTGCTGTGGAGCAAAGTGCTGCAAGATTTCAATGTATGTATAAAAGCAAAGGTGCTGCCCAAGAAAAAAAATCAATTTCTGAGGCCAAGCAAGGACCAGATTTTTAACAAACCCGAAGTTTAAGTTCAGATAGGCTAACACACACATTAACCTGTTGATGTACCTCCACTACCTGAAGAAAGAACAGGAAGATGAGGAGAGACCTGTGCAGGCCGTGAAGCTCTACACTGACGAAAGGGAGAAAGGGAAGCTGGTTTACATGTGTGTTCCATTCATCTCTTTATTATGCTTCTGTCAAACAAATAAAAACTATTAAGCAGAAGCACTGTATTCTTGAAGTCAGTGAAGGAATAGCTCCCCTATAGAAAGGCTGAGAAACAGTGGATCCAGTATGATATGACTTCAACATATGCTGCAACGTGCAATTGTTTATGGCACACTACCCTAACTGCCAACTGCAAAGATTCACAGATTCACCCAGCAGCCCACCCTGATCTTATAATTAATCAACATGGAAATTATTTTGAGAGACTGAAGCATGGCTTCAGTGGATTTCCAGCTGTGCTTCATCACCTGAGCACAATATGAACCTGCAGAAAATCCTGAAGAACGCTTCACTTTTTGAGAATAATCAGATAATTAAGATGTGGATTGAAGGTTGGATATGTAATTTTCCCCATGAGTAAGTGACAATGGACTGAATACCAACAAAAGCAGCAAAATCAACTGTAAAATAAAGTACCTGTGTGAATTCTACAAGATAATCAATGCTTGTGAGACTTTTGAAGTCTCCTACTGCAGAAGGGGAAAAAAAGAATAAAAAATTTGGAAATCATTATCCATTTGTTGAAAATTCACAACACTGTATCCTAGTAATATATAGTATAGGATAGTAGTATCCTAGTAATATATAGTATAGGATAGTAATATCTAGTATATTAAACTATGTAGTTCATAGTATAGATTGTAAATATCCACAGATTTTCTGTTCTATCATTCAATTCCTAAAAAAGGTGTTCTTAAAAGTTCTAAGCAATATGACTTTTACTGTATACATGTTGCATTTTCTCATAACACTGCTACCGTTTTTGCTTTGAATCACCACTATTCCATCTTTTCCCTTTCAGAGCCGCTTGATATTTTAAATTAAAAACTCAACACAATGAACATATATTTTGTGACATGCAGGAAATGTTATTTAGAGGAATATTAAAAAATGCAGATAATTTACCATCAAAATTGTCACAGAAGATACTGCTGTCATACCATGTATTTCCTTCACAGCAGCTCCACACAACATTTTCCCAAATCAGTATGATGTATCTATGCCATTCCAGTACCTCAAAACATTCATAATTGCTGATGCCTAATGCAAAGAGGGTTGTTTTTTTCTTTTTAGTTGCTTAGCCAGAATAAGCCCTTCTTGATAGTGCGTTATGTGAACCAACTTTATTTTACTACCGCAGCATAATTAAATGCTGAACTGATAACATGCAGTAACAATGCCAAACAAATGCCTGTGTTAGCAAGCAGTATAATACAGCTTACCAGTGTGATTGTTTGCATATAAAGTAGTCGCAGTGGTAGCTGAGTGCTACAGAAAACAGACAAGACTGGAAGATTTCAGAATCTACTTATACAGATGTTTTGAAAAGCTAATTCCATACCCTTCAGTATGTGTTATAAACAGCTTAATTTTGCTTGTGTACTTTTTACTCTCGGTGATTAAAACAGCTCACAGACCTGCAATATAAATCAGATCGTAGAAGCATCTGTGAACATATGATGACTGGTGCCTCACAATACACAAAATAATAAAATGACATTAAGTGATATTAGCCAGCTACACAACTACACCTCACGAAAGCCACGCGTTCTATTCTACGGATCCAGTTGAGCTGATCCCAAAACAAGATGAAGGGACTGGATAAACATGGCAATATCCTAAATTTAAGCATTCCTTATTTATGAGGAAGCTTGGGGCAGTTCTTTCCTTCTCCTCCTTATGTGTATCACAAGTAGAAAAGACCAAGTAGCTGAGATAGTGACTAGAGAGTAGAACTACAAAGTAAAGCTGTACTTCTGTCAGTCCTAAGATATACTGAGAAAGAACAATGTCTTTTGAAGCCCTTACCCTGGGGTAAAACTTCACTACCCAAACAGGTGGTCAGTTCAGCCTGCAGATACATAAAGAAACAATATCAGGAACAAGGAACTATGCTGGTGACTGATTTTAAGGAGCACCAGAGAATGCTGTTTGTCTGCATTTTGTCACTAAGCCTTCAGAAAATTATTTGTACACCTGTGTTGGTATAGGCAAATTAACTGTAAACAAGTATGTTCATTTTCTTCTCTAATCTGTATCTATAAAAACATCAGAAGTTTAGCTGGGAAAAAAAAAAGATGATGAAAACATGCCTACAAATACACAGTAACTCATTGATTGAAAGATTTTTAGCTCTGTTCTTCAGATACAATTGGAAAAAAACTTCTTGCTTTGAAGTATCGCAGCTTTGGACTTAACACTATGAAGAACCATAACTAACATGATTTTGAGTCAAGAATCTTGACACCTATCTTGCTTACCAGTATATGCTCCTATTCTGTTGATTCAACGAACTGTATTTATTTTGAAATATATAAATTTACTCGATATATTTCAGCCATAATAGCCTCCTTAAAAAGGTTGCATAGATTACTATGGTAAATGGAATACTACTCGCAGCAAACATGTACAGAGAGGACCCTAAATCTATTTTTACATAAAAGGTCAAAAGGCACCTCTCACTGGGGTCACTGAAGTTACATTAAGATGAATTTAAGTCTTGAAATGAACTTATTCTTGTCTGAAAAGGTCTTCCAACAGAATAGTTCATCTACCATTGTAAAATGAGATCACAGAGACAGTTTATGAACTGTACTGTCAAGTGCAGAAGCTGTAATTTTGTAATAAACGAGTGTCTGATTCTTTTAACTTGAGACAGCTCGATTTCCAAGCCACTTTAATATAAAGTGGGCTGAGCGCCTGCTCTCTGCTGTCTGGACAGAGCCAAGGTCTCCTGGAGTAAGCGACATTCTGCCTTTACAGTTGCTGCTCTCATAACCTCCTTGTATGTCGTCTGTTCGTTTCACTACACACTGTGATAATTAGTTAAGAATTGAGAAAGGCAAGAGAGAAAATTCACACAAAGATGTGAACAAATAAGACCTGTATGAATGTAAACATTTTGCGTACTGGCATCAATGAAAACCATTTTTCTGACTCAAAACTATGTCCTTGTGGTATTCAATTGTATAATATGGTATATTTCTACTTTCATCAAATACTGTGATGTTATTAATAAGGGGTATCACTGAAAGTGCATGTGGAAATGTATTAACTCAAACAACCAGCATGAGAGGTGACTGTCACTATGAAGCTTGAAAGGAAATCTGTACTGAACATTCCCAGTGCAGACATCTTTCTTTGATGCTCATAAGGTTCTTCTGCTTTCTTTAGTCACTTACATCTCTCATTCTGACAGAACTAGTTCAAGCACAATACATCTTCGGACGTTAATATCATAACAGAATAATAAATCTTTAAATATAAAGCGTTTGAGCAGGCAATTCACCTAGCCACGCTTGAGTGCTGCATACAAAATTAACAAGAGAGATTAGAAATAGTTAATGGTGTTTCCTAATCTATATTTCACATGCATAAGCAGATGGTCATAACTATCATTCTTAAGAAATCAAAAAAAGTCTCAAAAAACAGGCTAAAAGGGATCTTGAAATGTCAAGGCAATGGCAACCATACTTCAAACAGTTAAAAGAGAAAATTCACCCTCCTATGGAGCAGCCTTCCTCCAACTGACTTTTGGCATGGATTAATTTCTTTAAAAAATTTCGTTAGCAGCCGGAAGTGCCTATTAATGGGGTTATCTGAACATGGGATGTGAAATACCAAGTCTTGCTCAAATCAGAGCTTTTACTCATGGCCAGCTCAATTCAAGTTTTCTTGTTTGAGAGATAAATGATATTGAGCTTCATGCAGTTCAACCCGCTGAATCACTCAGATGAATGTTTAAAAACCCAAATCAGCTTTGCACAGAAAAATAAAGATTAAAAATCTAGAGATTTTGGTAGGATATAACTTTCCTTCCCTGGCAGCAGTTGCAACGACTAGATGGTAGTGGCATTCTATGCACAGACATCATGGTATTTTCCAGACTCTGTCAAACAGCCTTTTCTATTGTGAGAAAACTTAGAGCAATTAATTAAAAAAGAAGTATAGACAAGTAATTTGCTGACAGATAACTGAGTGGGTACCCACAAATGTACTGCTTATCCATCCTCAAGCTTTTCAGTCTAAGTCTCTAAATACTTGCTTAAAAATTACATATTCACAGACAAACAGAAAGTAGCCCCTCCAGTATCTGTAGTTTATCACCCTATTTTGATTAACTTTCACACGTGGTGTCAACCATGATTATCATGCTACTTGGAAAGAGAGGAGCAGTAGAGAAGCACATTTATCCCCAGGACACCTTATGCTTTCCCTGCCCATCTACCTGAACGTGAACGACAAACCACTGCCCTTGAAATAATTTCATTGGTAGCAATCCCATCCAAAGATTGCTCTGTTGGGTCATTTGAAAATGAGCTAAGGTCCTTAGCTTCTCACTTAGGTCTTCTGTTCAAAGTAGAGAAACACGTGACGCACCACAAACATCTCTCGCATCTTAACCCATGGCTCGAGATGGAATGCTTTCATCTCTGTGACCAAAATACTCTCTTTGACTAAAGTCACTGATTATTTCAAAAAGTCAGTAATGAAATCTAGGTAACAACAACAGAAACAGCTTTCTCCATTCATTACATATCATAGCAGGTTCTCACATTACAGTAAATTTACATTTGTAACTAGATACAACAAATAAAGAATTCACTGTTCTTGTGCATTTAAACCCCTGTACAAAACAGTCAAAGAGCAGGCCACACAGGTTCAAGACACATTATAGCTGTGCAGTTTCATAGTCGGCTCAGTGTATAATAAAATACACTGACTAAATCACAGAGGTTTTAAGAAATCTGTAACATGAATTAGATAATTTAGAGGAATTATTTTTACTTCTCTTTAGTTTTACCATGCACAAAGCACACTGTTGAAAACAGTTTCTGTGCTTTATTGCAGCATTAAATAATCATAAATGCAGCTACATGAAAAATAAAATGACAAAATAAAGGCATCAAACTAACCAGAATGCATGAAAAGTGAATGCTAATGAATGAAGCCCTTTGAAAACTGAAAGTCAGGTGCATACATCAAAGCTGGTTAGCATGTATTTAGCCTATAATCCAGTCGGACATTGACCTTGTCAGAGTTAGATGGGTTATTATATTTTTATACATGTATATACGCTACTCTAAAATCAATATACATTTTACAAGAGCCACATTTTATTAGGCAAGAAATTATGCACTATGAAAGCAATTTCTTTAACTCTTGTATTCTTACATTTAAATGTAACAATGGCAAAGCCAGAAAAATTCTGCTTGTCTCTTTTTCTTAAATTCCTCCTGTAATGTTGCGAGATGCTTACTAAGCACAGGACCACATACCATTCTTGCCATTACCTCCCTGGAAACCTGTGGTATTCCAAGGTTGACTGCTTCAACTTCATGCTGAATCTCATCCCAGCCCAGGAATATCCTAATTCAACAAAACAATTTTTGGAGCAGTTCCACAACTACAGGATGTATAATCAGCTTTTTCCTAATGGCAACAGTGACAGCAGTAATATGACTACTGCGTGGCAACAGTCTTCTACATTATCATATGCTTTAACAGGCATCCTTAGAACTTGTTTTCCAGCTGTCACCTACTGATACATCCTGACAGCTAGAGAAACACAGTTAGAATGGCTAACTCACCCTCACAATGCATTAGAAGACATTCAGTCATTGAAGTAGAAGAAGTCTCCCTTGGTGTATAAACAAGCATAGGAAATCAAAGTGTATTTTGGCAAATGAAGTAAAGTTTAAACAGTGCTTCAAAAATACGACAGACAAATTACTTCCACTGCCTACCCTTCTACCAGAAGGCTCATTTACAGATTTTCACTTCTTACTGACTCACTGGACATATTTTGCAAGTCCAGCAATCAATGATTTGCTACCTGAAATTCAGACTCAGACAGTTTGTTGAATTACACCCTGGGGCTCGCGAACATAAGGAAAGCTACAGTTTCTGTTAGCGTGATGAAGCCTATGCTTTCAGGACAAATGCTGGTGGGAAGGAACCTGTAAGTAATTAGAAGAACTGGGACAGATATTATTTTAGAAAGACCTTATTTTGAAAAAAAATAAAACAAAGGAAAAAAGTGACAGTCTGTTATAACGCTACATAAAAGACCAGAAGCGAATCCTTTCATTTTAAAACTGAGAATTTATACAGTAATTAAAGGCAGGTTTTAAGCACATTTTACTTGGTTTCACAGTGAAGTAATTTAAGGAACTGCTCCTGCCCCTAGTTTGCAGAAAGTAACATGGAAGGACAAAAATAGTATTAATAAAAAATAAAATCTAGATTTTAAATATGACATTTCCTCCCTTTTGTTATGCATGCCTGCACTTTCATCCATAAGTAAGAGCCATGTACTGAAATTTCAAAGCATTATTTCTCTGCACTGCAATAAGGCCACACTCAAGACCGCCTGCTGCAAAAACCAGTCACACAGACAGAAACTAATAGTGAGTTCTCTGTACTACTTGGAAACGTTCTCCAGCTCTACAGATATTTAAACAACACATGAAGCATATACTGTTAAAATCATCAGAGTTAAAACATCATTCTGTCTTAAGTTGCAATTGCTCCTTTACAGTGATGAACAAGAGCAGGTAACTTATTAGGCTACTTATTTATTTATTATTTGGAAATATACACCACATATCTAGATGAAATGCCGGCCAAAATAAGTGAACCTACGTATACAGACAGAAAATCACTTATTTTGATGGCTTAAGTACTATTTTCACTTTCAGTAACTGCAATTTGAGCATGTAGTACACTGTTAAGACATGAAATGCATTTCCAAAGTAGGATTTCCATGACACAGAAAAAAAATAGAACATTCTCGATTCTTCTGCTAGGAAGGTTCGTGGTAACTAGAGTTCTGCTTTAGGAAATAGTAGAAAGCTCTGGAATGACAGAGAGGGCATGGGAATTTCAGCCGAGATGAAAGTGAGAGAATCCACGGGTAACTAGAGCCTGGATTTACCACAAGCACTCTTCACCCAGATACCTGCCGTCTTTGTCAGAAGGCCGAGACATGCATTTGGTGCTGGGCACATGCCAGGAAGACCTTCGTCTATTTTCTGCTGCTTGAAATATGCCAGCCCTCCCTCCGGAGCCGCAGGACAGCAGTGATCAGCTGTTACTATGGGAGGCAAGTAGACTATGCTATCTACTAAACAAAATTAAAATATTTTCCTTTGCTAAAGAGGATGGCAGCAGCCTTCCACTCTCTCTCGAGCTGGATCGGGAGGCAGTTTTACCCGCGCTCAGTTCCTCTTCACACCTGGCTATCTTCTTTTTCAGTTTCTCTCTCCTTCGCTGGTCAGCAACTTAGGAAAGAGACAAAGTATGTCAGAACCAAACTGAAATCTTATTCTTTTTCTGTCCTGAGTGATTTGAAAACGTCACACGGGTTTCAGAAAAGTCAGACAGCAATTATGAAAAATTACTGCTGTTCTTAGAAGAAAATACTAGAATATGTCGGTAGCTAAATCTGTACCTTAGCTGAAGCTGCACCTGACCTTCCCTGAAGTATTCTCATCTCCCACAACTAATGCAAGACCACGCCGGAATTCCAAGATCAGTACTGCTAACAGAGCACTCTGCTCAAAAACTCACAAGTTTGCTCTCCGACTTTTATGGATGGAACACCTTTGACTGTACTCTGACCCAGGATTTCAGCAAAAACCCCAACATGTTTACTGTCAAAAAATTTGACATGTAAAAAAAATCCATGCTTGAACCACAGAAAAACAGAGAGTAGTCTCCCAAGCACAGAAATCCATGGCAAAACAGTATCTTCATGCCAAGAACATAAACAATGAAGGCAAACGCTGTGAAAGGGCCACTGCCATAGCGAGAGGGAGAAATGTTATCAGTCTACATTGGTCTGCAGTCCAAGACCTTGTTCACAGTGTTCCTGTAGCACAGAAGACGAGTGAAGTATCTCTGCCATCAGATCAAGAGAAGAGCCCAAAAGATGGGTGAATTTTCTGTGTTCAAGTCTGCTGTCAGTCACCTGCATCTGATATCTTACACACTACAGCCCAACGTTTTTGTATATTGCCAACACCCAGGTGCCACTGATGAAGTTCACAAAGTTGAAAAACCCGAATGAGGCTGATGAAAAACACTAATAATTTCATTTCAAAAAGGGAATGAAGAGGGTTGATGTAAGCAAGCATACTTTTGAGGTCTGTATACCAAATGAAGCCTGTTTTAACTCTTGACTACGCTTCTCATTCACTTAACACAGACCAAAGCGTATGAATGGTTTGTTTGATACATTATGAAATTGAAGAAGAAATCCTCAGAGGCCTTTCCGTCTGTGTGTATGTATTTATATCATACTCTGGTAGACCCCAATCTTCACACACATTGCCATACTTAACACATGGAAATGTAAATAACTGTGTGGATTGGTGTGGTACATTCCTCTAGACAGCTGAGAACTACAGCAATCTGAGGACATTTAATCAACCTTTAACACACACTCATCTATGTACATTAACCCTACAGACATGTTAATCTCTAGCAATTATTTAAGTATGTGCATTCATTTTAATGAACATTTCGGTCCTGTTTTAAGCTAGAAATAATTCTTTCAGATGCAAAATCCTTGCTCTCCTTCCTCAGGGAAATCCCTCTTTTTCTTCCTTTCAATTCTTACAATTGTTATGTAAAATACTGCAGATTTATTCAGCATATTCCATTAGAGTACTCACAATATGAAGTTGCTTTTATTACTGGAAAGACATTAGCTGACGTAAAGATACGCTACATTCTACAACTGTGAATTAAAAATATCCCTTATAACAGAAGGAAAAATATACTGTTCCATTAAATAATTTAAACTCAATATTTTTCTTCCTGCGCTAAATCATTATTATATGGCTATTCTAAATTACTATTATTTCTAATTGTGTTTGCCTTAAAAGTTACAGACGAGCACTCAAAAATTAGCTACAGGTCAGAAGCTTTATATGTTTGAGATAAATAATTACTCACTCTCGGCCAACAGAGTGTGGCTGTGTGTGCACATGCATGGAAGCTGTAAATACTCAACTCTTGCCTACTGCTCAGGTAAAATGGCAATGGCTGAAGTGAGTGTTGAATAAATATCTAGGGAAACAATGGATGAATGAGAGCTCTACAAAGTAAAAATGCCTATCATAGGGAAGTACGGGTGTCTCACTTTGTAAGTGCGAGCAGATGCCCGAAACAGAAATTTCCTTACACTCAAGTGCTTAGGTAGAAAGTAGGTTTGTCTAAGACATGACAGGCTTAGTCACTTTAGTGCATGTTCTACCTGCATACCACGGCTTAACAGGAGTTTCTGGACAAAGTGCAAAGCAGTGTGAATAATTGCAAAGCAGAGTTTTTGTGTTGTACTTATTCAGCTCTTTACAGGATAAAGTCTGAGATTTCACATACATGGACAGACTCCGCCTTTACCACTGGCATTCAACACTATAAAAGCCAGCTACTACAAATCTCGTCCAGGACTGTGTGCTACGGCTCTTCTCAGCCAAAGCACGGCTTGTGCCCATGAGCAAAGAAAGAAAGAACAGTAAGTATGCCAGCTAAGGCTATCTTTGGATGTCAGAATGACCCACTGGGACTGCTGTCACCTGCATGGGAAATGTAAAGTCTTTGCCTCGCACCAGTCATATAGCGAGCTTAGCTCAGCTAATCCATTAAGCGCTTTCCAAAAGCTATAAAATCACCCACGCATACTAAAAGGCAGCGCAGACACATGCAAAAGAGAATGGCAGGGTACCCATCTTGTTGCCAAATTGGGGAATTTTCAGGCTAGATTGGCTGTAAAAGCTAAGAACCATGAAACCAGCAAAGCAAGAGGTAAAGACATCCTTCTACAAAAGGGATAATGTAGATGCAAACAGATAGCTAGATGTAAGTTAGGATAGCCCTGAGGCACTCGGCAAGTAACACAGACAAGGGTATGGGTAGAGACACAAAAATATGCATGCTGCCTCCTCCCCCTACTTCCTATGTCCCTTCCCCAAGCAGGGACTGGAGAATCCAGTCTTTCCATTTGACTTTAACCAGACAGAAAATGGTATCATACAAATGAACCTCTGAGGCACTAATTACAATATTACAATTGATGGGAGCTGAAGATACTTCAGGCTGCCATACATAAACACTTGTCCTGCAGCTGTGAATATATTAAAGGCAGAAAGAATGAGACCAGCATTCAGGAAGACACATGCAGTTCTACAACGGAGTTTTATCTGTTAATTGGAAAGGTTGTTCACTGCTCAGGATATCTTCTGCTTCAAATCAACCACAGATACAGCTGCTTTAGTTTTTGGTGAGGTTAATAAACTAAATTTGACAAGAGTGCCCTTGGCATACTGTCACAGACTAGCAGGAAGTAAACATCAACTGCTTTTGTTAACAGATACTTAATAATTTCACTGCAAGTAACCTTCACTGTACATTGGCTCCAGAAAAATACCACATTTGTAGAGTTAAATATGGGAAGAAGTTCAAGACAGTAAGTATCTTGTGACAAATAAAAGAAAAAAGAAAAAACACTGGGTTTTCTTCATCTCTTTAAAAAGGGAAAACTAAATGTTTAGGAATAAAAAAACCACAGTCTATAGATCCAAACAACACGAGTCCCTTTTAAAGCCTTGTTAGAGACTTTGAGATTCTATCTCACTAACCGCTGTGCTCAAAACCACCACAACGATATACAGTAAAGAGAAAAATATTAGAATATAAACAAAGTAGTCATTTTTGTATATCAGAGAAATTCAGTCTGTGAAACTAAATTCCGCAACTTATTGCACCCACCCCGTGAACCTGTTCCCTTAATTCTGCTGTCAGTGAGAGGAAGCACAGGAAAAAAAGGATACGGGGGGACCTAATACATACTTACAAATATCTGAAGGGTGGGTGTCAGGAAGATGGGGCCATGCTCTTTTCAGTGGTGCCCAGTGACAGGACAAGGGGCAATGGGCACAAACTGAAGCACAGGAAGTTCCGTCTGAACATTAGGAAGAACTTCTTCCCTCTGAGGGTGATGGAGCACTGGAACAGGCTGCCCAGGGAGGTTGTGGAGTCTCCTTCTCTGGAGACATTCAAGACCCACCTGGACAAGGTGCTCTGCAGTCTGCTGTAGGTGACCCTGCTTCGGCAGGAGGGTTGGACTAGATGACCCACAGAGGTCCCTTCCAACCCCAACCATTCTGTGATTCTGTGAAAGGCCATAAATTTCAGAAGTTAAGCTGTAGCATTCTCCATAAAGAGCCACCTATAGCATGTGGATTGATCTGTCATGGAAGTAGCACCTTCGCCCAGGCAAACACCCTTTTTGCAAAGAGTATACCACATTTACAAAGCGGAGATCGCTTTGTTACCTTTCCCTGTTAGAACATTCCCACTATAGGCTTGATTCTTTTTTCCTTAAACCTAGACTGTAACAGTATTTCTAGACACATGCCTAAGAGTTACAAAACAAATGTCATAAACCTGGAAGAAACAAAATGATCCCACACACCACATTCCGAAGCAGCTTGAAAGCTCTGCACTTATAGGGACAGTACGATTTGGAGTGCCAGTGGTTGTCCTTTGCTCTGAATGTCCAATCTCTAAATTTATCTTGTGTCATACCACAGTACGATTGGCAGTTAACTTTCCAGTTATTTCATTTTTGATGTAAAATATCAATGGCAGACATTGAAATATTAAGTTAGATTTAAATTGAGTTCAGCTTGCAGGACAATGTAACTTAAAAGAATTGTCCAACACGGAGCATTTCTCCATTGTGTTTTCATATCAGCTATTTTGCAGTAGCACACTTCTGGTTATTATTTCCCTTACGAATTCTCTTAGATAAACAATGCAAACATCAACCTCATTTCTGCTGAGCTCAGTGTCTGCAGTGACCATCCTTAAAATGTTCAGCCTACCAGGTGGTGATACTGCTTCAGCAGGCAAGCTGTTTCTTCTTTAAGAATTTCTACTATCAGCTCTACACAAATCCCCAATACACCATGATTTAAGCACCTGAGGTGAGATCTCATCAAATGCAAATTTAATTTTGTCATAGGGTGTGAAGTCTGGGTTTCTCGTAAGTCTAAATCTGCATTTCTTAACACAGAAATTTTAATTTTCGTGACTCTAAAAGATGACTGCAGTCCTTCACATGCATTATCAACAGCACCATTTCATCAAATAAGGGAGGAATCACCATAAAAGAAAGGTAACAAAGGATTTATTATGGGCTTGATACTACAGCCTTGCTTGTATGACATAGAAAGTAATGTTTGTATCAAGGTATGTACTTCAGAAATGTGAT